TATATATATATATATATATATATATATATAATTGTAGCTAGACGCAGCATTGAATAGAACCTTGTAGCCAGAAGGAGAACAAGGTAAGAAGTGGCAAGACTTAGCCAGAGGGTCGGAAAAGTTAATAAAGATTACAAGTGATACCCAGGATACATAAAAGTCACCCTAAAAGTTACTCATAGGTAATAATAGGAGCTCACTGAAAGCGAGAACAGATAAGGTGTCTTATTATAAGTCCATTGAAAATCGTAAATATTTCAGGAAGGATCGAGAAAACGAATTGTTTTTTTTATGTTTTCCTTGTATTCCATTCCTTTTATAAACGTAGTTTAAACTCAGCGGTGGTTGCTCAGTACAAAATACTTTGAAATAAATTTATGCGCACAACTTAAAATAAACCTCATACAAATTTCTTCCATGAAGTTTAGGTAAATGTTCGGGGAGCAACAAAATTTCTTTCTCTACTTATAATTAAGTAAAGTATATTAGTCTACCAGAACAAATTTCGCATAAACCAGTTAGACTGCTCTAAGAACATTTAAAAAAAAGAATCGGCTGTTATCTTTTCGGTTCGACATGCTTTCTAACAACCGTGTTGATTTTTTTTTTAGTTGCTAATTTTATTGTTCTATTGAACGATGCTGTATTATATTATTATGCATTTTAGATTATATATAATTCTCACTTTCTGTAAGCAATAACGTTATAATATCATAGACACTTGTCCACATTTGTATTTTAATTACTAATTCTGAAGACTTCATAATGAAATATTTACAACCAAACCAATAGGAACAACTTCAAGGGAATTTGTTGCAAACGAGGAGTATAATCTAATATTGTTTGGTGTTTTGAGTTAAGTAGCTCAATTTTGCATGACTACCTTCACGTCAGTGTCATAGAGAAAGCCAAGATATTTTGTATGCACATCAGTGCTTAAAACGCATTGATTCTTCTATCTGATAGGATTGGCTATGTGGTAGAGCTCTGCATTTCGGAACTAGGTTCGAATTCATACGATATAACAAAATATATCCCCTCATTTTACTCCGTGGGTGCATTGTAAGAGTGACATTCTTAACTTAGATTGTGGGTGGTAGGGTGGTGCTGACTGTCTTCCTTCCCTATGGCCAGTAGTTCAAACTTAGATATGACGGTAGATTTCATAGCTAGAATATATGAATATAACTATTTTTTTAAGTTCAAACCTGTACTGCAGTGAGTCAAGTCCGAGTGAATCTCAAGTTGAGGCGTACGACTACACCTGAACTTAAGAGTGTGTGGTTATTTTCTTACGCATTTTTAAGCAGTACTGCAAGAAAATAAAGTTCAAATATTGCGAGAAGTATTGTGGGAGGTGTTTTCTTAAAATTGTTTTAGACCTATGAGAATTAACTTACACATTTGGTCTTTCATTTTTCATATGTTTTATTCATTAATCTTGAAACAGTAAAAGCTAGTGACTGCAAAGGTACCGTCACTACTGTTCACGTACACATTAAACACTGATGTAAATAATGTATCTAAATTTATCATACAAATAAAGTAAAACCATATATATATATATTAATTTTACTTTAGTTGATGATGATCTCATAAAATCTGTGCTCATGCATCGTACTACTGACAAAATCAAAAATGTACTTGAAAGTTGTGAGTATATTAGTATTGTCTACAGTGTACAGCCAAAATCTAAAGTATAATTGAATACTGTATAGAGTGTACAGCCAAAATCTAAAGTATAATTGAATACTGTATAGAGTGTACGGTCAAAATCTAAAGTATAATTGAATACTGTATAGAGTGTACAGCCAAAATCTAAAGTACATTTGAATACTGTATAGAGTGTACAGCCAAAATCTAAAGTATAATTGAATACTGTATAGAGTGTACAGCCAAAATCTAAAGTATAATTGAATAATGTATAGAGTGTACAGCCAAAATCTAAAGTATAATTGAATACTGTATAGAGTGTACGGTCAAAATGTAAAGTGTAACTGAGTATTTTATACACTGTACAGTCAAAATTTTAAGTTTAAAATACGATATTAAAAGTTATTTCCAGCTATTAGTTTGCAAATACCTCCAGTGAAAACAAAAAAGGAAAAATTAAAATCCAGGAAAGAAAAATTATTTTGAAAATTTTATCTTCAGGAAATTTATAAATATGTCTCAGAATTGGATGAAAAATGTTGTTTCCTTTTTTGTTGTTTATTGTTAATAAGTAGGCTTCGTAACTTTTGGCTTTGAAAAAATTAAATGAAAAAAAACCCCACATTTTGGTGACATCTTACAGTCGAGGACAACACCCTTGCACTATCGTTGCTATCTGGATTACATTATTTTTAGATATACTCTTTCAGTCCAAATGAATCACACCCATTCGCTTTGATAATTTAAAATATGAATATTTCTTTCTGAATACATTTACATATTTTTAAAATTTTAAATTCTTTCACACCCTACTTATATTTATCAACATTCTGTGTACGGCATACCAAGGTAATATACATGTAGACAAAACGGCCAGCGACTTTTTTTTTACACAGATTTCGCCGTTCCGTGGAAAGAAAAAGGTTAGGAACCACTGATTAATAATATCTATAGAGGTTGGACACAAGAGCATATTTATAGGCGAGTAATAGCAAACATTTTGAAAATATTACACAAAATTAGCAATATACAAAATCATGAAATATTCTGTAAAACTGGGTATAAACACGATACCAAAATATTACATGAGTACATAACACTCTGTACATAATTTATACATAATTCGTATATTCCTGATGCGACCATTTTTATCATCCTATAATGTTTCTATTTTCAGTTACAGTTACACTCACGAACCTGATTAATCTTTATCAACCAAAAGGCACTGTTTTATATAAATAAATATATATGTATATTTAGACATATTGATGGATTGAATTCACCACAGATTTTTCCACATTTCATGGAAAAACAGCCAATAAATGCTGAACGAATGTACATAATGTGTGACGTATTTATCCGGGTCACATACAGGCCGAGAACGCACCAGGTTAACTGAATTGTAAACAACGAAGCTTCGAATTTATTAACATCACCAAGTTGGAACTTAGTGTTATTTTTTATAATCACTTCCCAGACCATAAGTATTAGAAGCTAGTCGGTAAACTACTTCTATGGTGATTTCAGCAAGAAAGCTCAGTAGTAACGTTTCAACTAAGTCATACTCACTGTGAAACAGTGCCTCACTTTGAAAAAGGGTTTTTCAATGATCAAGCAAAACATACGAAGAATTTTCTGGGCTTGTGCTTGCCATGACGATATTTATATGTAGACAATAGACTCAGAGGGGAGGACATGAGATAACTGCAGAGACACCTATGGTATTTACCAATGTGGTCAACTGACTGAGATATGGTGAGAATGAAATACGAGGTGCTTATTGTAATCACAGCGAAGTATGGAAATTATTTCAAATGCTTTATTGGATTCAGAATGTAAAACTTGTATAATAGAAAATTACAGCGATAAATGCCTTCAATTTCTGCTAGACGTCGCACCAGAATACATTAGAGTCGATCCTTTGAAGACAGCATTCCACGATGGCACCACAGTTGAAATCATACTTTTCCCATGTTTGTGTAGCAACTGGAAGGAACAGAGTTTCTGTGAATACTGCCCTGTGTTTGTCATAATTCCACATGTGTTTGAAAGTACATCATGGCTTATGGAGAATTTAAATTTAAAATTTACAACTGGCTCGAGATGTTTTATTACATTCCTTTTACTTTTCACTAGCTCTTAAGCAGCATAGCTTGTTTGTCTGCCTGTGGTTAAGCATAAAGCTATACAATGTTATGTCTGTGGTCTGCCCACCACGGATGTCGAAACCCGGTTTCTAGTGCTACAAGTCCGCTGACATACCGTTGTGCCACTGGGGGGCAGTAGCTAATTTATCAATTCCTTATCTCAGTAGACAAACATTAGTTGAAGAGAGTACATAACTCTCAAGACTGTTGCCGCTTACATTCTAGTTCGTCATTTTCTGTCTATGTAAGTTACAAGTCCTTTTTCTTTACGGTTACAAAATAATCTGTGAAGCAGAAACATTCAGCATTCCAGAACCAATCATTTTCAGTCTGTTCGGGTATTGAAAAAGCTCTCACTTTTCTTGGTTTTCCAAATCCATTCTCTCTTTTGTTTTTACATTGGAGGAAAAAATCATAACTCACATAACCAGAACTTAATACAAGGAACCTTTAAAGACAGGACACATTCGCTAAGAAAGACATGCAAAGAGGAATCTTTAAAGACAGGACACACTCGCTAAGAAAGATATGCAAAGAGGAATCTTTAAAGACAGGACACACTCGCTAAGAAAGACATGCAAAGAGGAATCTTTAAAGACAGGACACACTCGCTAAGAAATATATGCAAAGAGGAATCTTTAAAGACAGGACACACTCGCTAAGAAAGATATGCAAAGAGGAATCTTTAAAGGCAGGACACACTCCCACGAATATTAATATACACAAGCCTAAAATCAACAATTGTTCGTTTTCAAGTTCCCACATGTTTTTAACATTTCAAAATAAAAAGACAAAATGTTCATACCTTAAGAAACCTACCATCGATGGTAGTGGTGCTCTGTTGAGGTTGCTTCCTCACAAACGAAAGAAACAGTCTCTTGACAAGGTCTCGAGGGGTCTCGATTTCCAAGTAGGTATCCAGGAAAAGCTGGAAACCGTCATAATCTATATCCTGTGAAGAAAAGATGAAACACTTTACTTAAGGCAAGAAACAAAGACACCTTATTTGCTGCTTAGTGTGTTAGCAATCTTTGGCAGTAGATCTAAGTTTCAGTTTTGTTTTTGCGTCATCTTGTGTGTTTATAATTTTTTATGCTTTGTAGTATATTGGAAAGATATTGGTTAAGCATGTTATCACAAACTTGTGCATAAACTTCTTATTCTACAAGAATAAAGTAAAAAATTATCACATATATACATATATATGTACATAAAAACATTAAATCTACAATAAGTTAACGGAGTCATATTCTAAAAAGCACTAGTCGTACATTATAGATCAATTGTATATAAACGTGTAGATCATGAGATCCTTAATTTTCCTCAAAGCATTAAAAATAATTTCGCTTCATCTGGTAAACACACTTCATGAAAACTTGTAGCATAATATTAATAGCTTTTTTTTCGGTAGGAAGAATAATTCGGATACACTGCACATCACTTTTCCTTGAGGATTACTTTGCACTTATTAAAATGTTTTAATTGCGAGCATTCAGTTGTATATCCAGATAGATTAGAAAATGCTTTATGAAACATATATCTATAAGAATAAAATCACAGATTTGCACATATCTCCAGGAAACATTTATGTATCTGGTCCGTGCGAAGGATTTTGAAAAGGGGGGTGCAACTTTCTCGGGGGGCGGCATTATTTACTGTAACTCTGGGGCTTCATAATTTCAATAAAGAAATTAAAAGTGTGCGTATTAAGGTAATTAAAAAGTAAAAGTATAAGGCAAAATATTGCCCAGAGAAATCAGATTATATTGATACCCATAATGTAAGTCACTAGGATACTTTTTGAAGTGGCATGACACAATTCGAGAACTCAAATCGGGAAAAAATGATCAAATACGATAAAATGTATTTACTGATATCTAACTAATTAACAAAAAAAAATCGATGTAATTTCATTGATAGCTACGATTTGTATACATTGATTAAACCTAAGCGACATGGAAATCAATAAATAATATCGATTTCGTGAGAATGACTCATAGTATACAAAAATTAGAGAAATATGTAAACACTCTACATTTTTTATATATTTTCTCTAATATTTATCAGGGGATCTTCTTATCTATTTACTATCAGGGATTCTTCTTGTCCATTTACTATCAGGGATTCTTCTTGTCCATTTAGTACCAAGAGCTCTTCTTGTCTATTTACTATCAGGGGCCCTTCTTGTTCGTTTACTATCAAGGGCTCTTTCTTGTCCATTTACTATTAGTGACTCTTTTTTGTCCATTTACTATCAGGGGCTCTTCTTGTCCATTTACTATCAGGGGCCCTTGTTATTCATTTACTATCAAGGGCTCTTTCTTGCCCATTTACTATCAGGGGTTCTTCTTGTCCTTTTATTATCAGAGGTTCTTCTTGTTCATTTACTAAGGGACTCTTCTTGTCCATTTATTATCAAAGAGCCTCTTTGTGGGTTTAATAACATGGTACACCAAAGAGCCCCTTGCAAAAAATGACCAGATACGTGCCTCATGTGCCTCATTGTGACTACGGCACTGGTATTATACATTTTTATGCTTATAAAACGTTTACTATTATTTTTCTATTTTATAGGAGGATATTTGGATTCTGCCACTCATTGTATAAGGACCCTTCTGACGATAATTAGATGTCCTTCTGATGATAGTCAGGGCTCACTCTGATGATACATAGGGGCCCTTCCATGTCTGTCAATAAAGGTGCCCTTGACTATCATCAGAGACGACGACCCTGACTATTATCATTTTTTTACACTGAATTATATTGTGTAGGGACGCATTCATTAATAACATTGTGTAGTTTTTTACTAAATCGAACTTTAATACTGAGGGGGAGCGACCACACCTAACGCACCCCTCCTTCTGATGGCCCTAAATATAATATATAAAAAAAGCAACATTGCCATAAAAATAATTTTAAAGCTTGGTCATTTTATAGACGTAAACCGCTTCTTTAGTCGCTAAATTCTTTATCATTCATTGCTGTATTTTTATATACGGTTATAAAATCTTGACTCGAATCCACTTTGGCACTTTTAACATCGAAGCTACATACATCGACAAGAGGAACCGATATCCTGTTCTGCGTGTTCTTGAACATTGAATGTCTCCACAGAAACCAAAGCTTCACTCTCAGATCCGTGTGCATACATCATTCGTAATCACAGAGAACACTAGCCACTTTGGAGATTTTCAAATACCTAAACTTCGGCAAATTTGACACAAGTTAATCAAAGTAACACTGTTAGTCAACAAATATAGATCTACTTATAACCACACTGCCAATTCCTTTGAATTAACTTTTTTAATTGTTCGAATATCGTGATTTACCCTCAAATATTCCTTCGTTTCTTGTAAGATACTTTATTCTATTTTCAACTTTAATATGTTGCATTAAACCTACAACTTAATTGTAGGTTTGGTAGTCTTGCATTAACTTACAACTTAACTGTTTTCAAATATAACCTTTGAAGATGAGTTACGTATATTTCTATAAACGTAAATAAAATCACGACCTAATAGCAAAATATTGAGCTAATAAAGTTACATTCTGGAGATATAGGTCGTGATATTACTTACGTTTATAGAAATGTCTCATAATAAACTCCAGTTTGCGTTAAACAAAGTTAAGAATAATAAAGATTTACGTATAATCCGAAACATCAAACACAAGATATTTGTTTTCACTATTGTCTTAAAGTTCTTATTGAAATGAGGATTCTCTATGAATGAATCTATTGTAAATAACTAATATTTCCATTTTTCACGAAAAATTTGATAGTGGTTATTATTTTTAACTATTTTATTGTTACCGTGTTACGAAGTTTCAAATTAAACGTGCTTAACATGAATTATTAGGTGTATTAACTAACACACACATAAAAACGCGAGTAGTTAGGGAAGAAATTGTTACTATTAAAAAAACAAAAATTTCAGAAATGTAACTTGTGTTTGAGTAAGCATATGTAATCTCAACTTATTGCACTGAATTTCTGGCCACTTTTTCTAGTGTAGATTTTTTTTAGAGAGACATGCTATAAGCATTTTCAGAGAAATCATAATACAAAATGACAATCTGTTATGAAAAGATAAAAAGTGATTTTTGTTATAAAGTAATGAAATTTTATATATTTTACAGGAAAAAAATGACATAAACAGTGGAATGTTGGAAGCTAAATTTTATATATTTTACAGGAAAAAAAATGACATAAACAGTGGAATGTTGGAAGCTAAATTTTATATATTTTACAGGAAAAAAATGACATAAACAGTGGAATGTTGGAAGCTAAATTTTATATATTTTACAGGAAAAAAAAATGACATAAACAATGGAATGTTGGAAGCTATATTTTATATGTTTTACAGGGAAAAAAATGACATAAACAGTGGAATGTTGGACGTTAACGTGTACATACTCCATAGAATCTAGATGAGAGCTACAGTACTACACATTGTATCTAATTTCAATGTAAACTCTTTTTCTACGCCAAAAAACCTCTCAAATTTCCTTTTAATATTCGGAGTTACATTTCTAATCTATGTCCTATTTCTATGTTGTTGTTGTTAGCAAAATTATCTCTGACGATAATCTCGGTGACTACACTAACCCTATCGTTAGACAAACGATGCACTGAGTATCACGAAATTAGCAATTAATATATAATCTCTTGTACTTCGAAATATCCCCCTATCGACTTATCAGGTTTCAAGTGGTCTGATGAGGAACTTATGTAGAAGTTAGAGTCACAAGGTCTAATATTAACAGGTAAGAGATGAAATATTCTTCAATTACTACTCTAAACTGAAGGAGCGCAGGAACAATTTTCTTTTTCTTAATTTTTAGTTCTTCATCTCCTTATTTTATATCAAATTTGTCTCTTTCGGAAGTGACCATATTTTTGTAATTAACCCATTTTATATCTAACTTCTCATATCGTCGTTTTACAGAAGAGGAATCATTTTCATAATGCTGCTCCAAAAATTCACAAACTTTTGCTTTAAATTTCTCATTTTGTTACCAATCGCTAATCATCTCTATTTCTATAGGATGTATAGTTGAGTTTAAAGAGATTATAGAAAAACCTTCTTTAATATTCACGTTGCCATTTGAAGTATTGTAATTATATCATGTGATTAAATACGGATATAACAACGATAAAGTCTATCTATTTACGCAATGTATGCATCAGTTGACGAAATAAGAAATGGAAGAAACATTATTAATTAAGCGACTTATGCATGTGTAAAAAATTGGGCCGGATGTCTTAAGTTTACTTAGAGAGAAGTATTTCAAACTATATCAAATACTAACCAAACATACACATTATATTTGGAAAGTAATCGTCAATGCGCAATCAATTAGCCAACGTCTGAAAAAAATTCCTTCATCACTGAAATTATAAAAAATAATTAAAAACTAATTTATTGTAAATAACTCATGAAGACAACGTAGCTCACGTCGAAACTAGTAATTGTAAAGTGCTGTTTTAAAGTGGAAGCCGTACAGCTTCAATAAAGTTTTAATTGTGTAAATATTAGACGTTATTTTAATTATTTATTATAATTTTAAATATTACAAAAGTGCCGGTAATTCATATCTCTCAACAGTGATTCCCATCTTTCTCTTGTATACTTATACCAGATAAATCATCAGGCAAACGGCATCTGCCCACCAGTGGCACAGCGGTATGTCTGCGGACTTACGACGCTAGAAACCGGGTTTCGATACCCCTGGTGGGCAGAGCACAGATAGCCCATTGTGTAGCTTTGTGCATAGCTACAAACAAACAAATGGCATCTACCGTTAGCCACGGGACGAAAGTATTTCATTTGACAATTTTATTACGATGTCTTATTCAGACATATTTTTTTATATAAGTAAGTGCTCAATGTCTGTTTTTGTATTGTACGTTTTATTAACCTCGATGGCTGTTTAACTTGGGTTTCTGTTTTGAATTAAAAGCCGAGGTAATAGCTCTGTATTTTACTGCCATACACTGACAAATAAACATATCATAACTCTAATTTTTATTACTTTAAATGCTTGAACGTAATTGTTAATGCAAGGTGTTTTATTTTTATGTTAGTTAGAAGAAAATGTTAGTCTTACCTCATGTTGTTTGAATTGCTTACTATTTGTAAACACTTTATAGATGAGAGAGTATTTTCATTAATGCCCCATCTATTATCGTTTATTTAATTTATTAATACTTATTACTAGATCAATGAATTATTCTAGCTAATTTGTTACTCGTATGGAGAATAATAGTGGTTAACAAGCCTATCTACAAAACACAAGTTGTATAATTCTAGATAACCAGTGAAGTTTACTTCATACTCCCTGCTAGCTTAGTTTTTCTAGTAAACAACGGTGTAAAATGTTTTCTATAGTTTTATTCCGTGTTATTTCAAGAAGGTTATGGAATTTTCAAGTTGAATGGCATCATATGTACCTTAAATGACTAAGTCAGAAACTCATTAGGTTCAGATGTAGTTGTCCCTAATTTTGAAGTACTGACCACCGAGAAGGCAGTCAACTGGTAGTATCCACTGTCTCAAGCAGTGCTTTATCCCACTCTATAAGTTGAATAATGGGAAGGACTGTAAATATTATAATACACCCATAACCAAAGGTGTAAAGAGTTTTTAGCAGCATCACGTCTATAACTGTTCACCTTTTGATATGCGGCTCAACAAAGTAACCACTAAGCCTATTTCAGAGAGAGACTTAAGAAAGTTGTTTATTTGTTTGTTGAATCCTTATTTTTAGTGTTGTAAATCGAAGACTTACCTCTGTCCCACTGGAGGATTGGTGAACCCCCCCCTCCAAAAAAAAGAACAAACCAAAAAGTTTATTGCAATAAACGTTTTGAACAAAAATCATATCCATAAAGAAACTTGACACAAAATGTAAGCCTAAAGAAACATGCAACATATTTGAAAACTTCTGGTATATTAAGTACAACATTTCAACATCTGCTGATGCAGGAAAATTTTAATTTAACTCATTTTTTTCATATACACAATTTCGTATATGTATATATATAAATCCCTGAACCGTATTAGGTTTCTCAGTCAACCGTAATAATAGTCAGTATTCGTCACGAATTTTATTGCATCAGACGAAGTGAAAGACGTCTCTACATCCATTCTTACTCTATCTGATCTGTTTCGGCTCACTGAGGTTCACAAACGGCCAAAGAGATAGAGTGCAGTGGCAATTAGACACACCGGTGTACAGAAGCACAGAGTTAATGAATGCCAGTAATGAGCACCAAAAAGATTTTGTTGTTCTGGAAGGAAAGTAATATTTCCCATTTAGGTCTTGGTTAATGCCTTAGAAGCTTTCAGTAGAATCAGTACGATGAAACTACCATGTAGAATTTTACAAAACCTATAATATTTACCGGTTGTCATTGGTAACGAGACTAACGGTGCTTAGAAATCGTATATATCTGTCTATCTAAATTATACTAAGCATTTCTGGTTGTACATGAATTATCACTAAACCACACTCGTAATTCATAATAAACTCATGATGCTCAAGATTTAACGCTGACGTCAGTCATTTTGTTATATATTTAACAATTACTTCAACTCCTTGGGCGTCTTTTTTTAATTTCCACGCTTTCCAAAGTGTAATACTGCCCTCACAATTTATTTTTCGATGCTCTAAGCCATTGCCTTTCAACTAGGTGAATGGTTCACTCAGGGGTTTTCTTTATTTTATGTTGTATTCATTCTAGTTGTAGTTTGATGTATATTTAAATCATAATTAAGCATTTCACATTTTAATTTAGTACTTTTTTATATATTTTTTCGAACTGGGGTGAGTGAGCTGTTGTGGAAAACTTATAGGGGGTGAACGATATTGGAGAAGGTTGAGAAGCACTACTCTAAGCCATTAACCTTTATCAAAGTGATTTTCTTCCATAGCTGGTTTCGATTCTGGAGTCAATAGAATTTAGACCTGTTCCTTGCTATTATTCTATCTGGTATAACAGAAAACACATGGAGTGGAGATCAAAAGTTCCGTGTTTAATATCAAGATTAGTGGAGTTTGTATTATAAAACGTAACAGTAAAATAAAGATAAATAAGGACTTTAGTCAACACAGAAGTACTAAGGAGTAAACGTAATTTAGGGAATTTCAAAGATTTTTATTCTGAACTATCAGAGACCCGCAAAATATTTGCGGCAAAATTAATATCTTTATTGCAACAGTACTTCTTTAAATACAGAATTTCTAGATTAGTATAAAATAATTATTATCGCAGACACTGAAATATATATGTCCACTTGTTTTAGTCCTAACATTAACTAAGCCTTTATTAAGTACGGATTATATTCGATAAAGAGATAAATTAACACTGTAACTTATGTACGTTTTTTTTGTTTTAGTGCAGTTAGGGTTAAACCTTATCGCACTTAATATTATCAATAAATAATCTTCTAATATTATTGTACGACCTAACGTTAGACCTTTTTAAAAACTTTGATAAGCTTTTAATATGTTGTATAAAATGTCTACTAAAGTACATTTACGTCCTTTCTGGCGTAACTCGACAGTTTAACAAAGATACATTTCAAATTGCGAAAAAGGTGTAATTTTTGTACATTTTTAGTCCAAATATATCTACTTACAACGTTGGAAACCGGGTTTCGATACCCGCGGTGGCAGAGCACAGATAGCCCATTGTGTAGCTTTGTGCATAATTTCAAACAAGCAAACAAATATATCTTTAATTTTCGAACAGTCATGGACTACTCGCTTCTAATTGACAGGAAGCCAAACTAATTAAATTACGTAATAAGTTGCTATAACATAAGCGCGTGACCGAGAGACAGACAGACAGATACACACTGTGTTTTATAGTATTAGATCATTTGTTCATTTGGCGTGTCCAATAAGTCCAACAGCTTTCCATTTAGGCGTGTTCTACATAACATGTTATCAATTTGTTTAATCTAATGTCGTTTTAAAAAATCTTCAGTGACGATTATTATATGTGTACTGTATTTATACATTTTCCAACTAAAAGTATTTATCTCATCATCTAATGTTTATAGGGTAGACATATTTTACGAACATTCATTGTTATTCGTCAGATTAAGCCAATTCTATAAATAGCACTCTGTACTGCTGTGTAAATTGGTTTGTAAGGATAACAATGACAGACTTTAATCATTTAACACGTAATTCTATAAAATACTTCTGGTAATTTCAAAGTCTTTAAAACGTCAATACACTATAATATTGGAAGAAAAATTCTAACAAAACCAATATAATTTGAGGAGAGTCTATGCTGTCGGTTCCAAAATCAACCATAACAAAACAATTTCTACAGTTTGACAATACTTTACGTATTTAATCATTAAATTAATTAAAAATAGGAAAGTATTCCAAGTGCAAAATATTATTTTCTTGTGTATGTTTTTATAGTATTAAAGACTTTTGAAAACTTACCCCTTCTGGGTTATATTTAGATAGAGTTCCATATTTGAATTCTTCTTGCAACACGTCTATTCTCGTGTATATATTTTTATAGTACTTAATTATTTTGAAAACTTACCATTTCTGGGTTGTACTTGGATAGAGTTCCATATTTGAATTCTTCTTGCAACACGTCTATTTTCGTGTATATATTTTTATAGTACTTAATTATTTTGAAAACTTACCATTTCTGGGTTGTACTTTGATAGAGTTCCATATTTGAATTCTTCTTGCAACACGTCTATTTTCGTGTATATATTTTTATAGTACTTAATTATTTTGAAAACTTACCCCTTCTGGGTTATATTTAGATAGAGTTCCATCTTCTTTGAATTCATCTTGCAACACATCTGTCAGTTTTCTGGAGGAAACTGAAATTGCAAAACAACCGTTTTAAAGTTGAGTGGTTAAGAATGCAAAATTAGATTTAGGAAATAATTCCTTTAAGTTAAGGTAATCATTTTTCACTTGACACCTTTTATTTATAAAACTAAATATTTTGATTGAATCATTCACATGGTTATTTGGCTTTCGAAAGATAAAACAGGTTGATTTATTATAGATGATCATATACAGCCATTAAGATTTTATTCCTATGATGAAAGAACCACATATGGCTAAATCCAAAGGGGTTATGTTTATTAATGCCAAACGAGCTCATTCAAATATTGCCACATATTTAAGTAACATAAAAAAATACACGTATGCAGTAAAAGTAGCTTGTATCATTAGGCTACTATTATATGCAAAGAATAATTCATTTAGGTATTTGCTACTAGTATGGCTCCTATATGGCACAGTGTTAAGTTTAAAGCTTATAACGTTAAAAATCTGGTTTTGATACCTGTGTAGGCAGAGCACATATAGCCCATTATGTAGCCTTTGTGCTTAACAAATGAAGTTATTAGAATGTTACATATAGTTCCATACAAAAGTACCATTAACTGTTACTTTAAAGCTGTTACTGTTAATATTTTAACAGTATAAAACGAATTTACATATGCTCAACGATTGTCAGGTACCTTTACAGGAGAAAAGGACAAACATTATAATATATCAAGATTTTTACACATACATGTACAAACGTTTGTGAAATGCTTCCAAAGCAAATGCGAAAAAAAAAGCTAGAACGAGGAAAAAAAATCTATTCAAAGATAGCTTTAAATAATGACGGAAATTATGAAAAACACATTCAATTCACACTCCCAACAAAACGCAAACTGTTATAGTGATCTGAACTCTGTTTACACAATTCATAGAATTTCTAGCTTTAAACATATGACTAGACCATACAGACTAGACCATATAATACCACATGTTCTATGTCAGATTTGAAAAATAGGAATGTATATTCAAGTCTTTATTTCTATAATGCTTAACGAATCATACACGTACTGAATAAAGAACAACCAATTGATTTATTCCCATTACAAATATTGATGTTTTTACATGAATCCACTTCTGAGAACAAGATTAAATAAGAAAACTTTTCCTGGTATAAATTTAGGGATTCCTGCTTAAACGAAACCGGATCGGAATCAGATAAATCGGTATCGTAATCTTCGAATTTCTATCACTAAAACGTAATATCTCTAAATCCGTAGCTTATGGAAAGGATGTTAAATGTATTTAGAATTTAACTCTACTTCCCATGCAGTAGTCTGAAATATCTCGGGAAAAAATTTCACTTGTTAAATCTGGTTTAAACTGGTATATCGTCTAACGCCATTTGTTTTTCCAAGTTCAGTCTAATATCTATCCAAAACAGCCTTTAGATGACACACCAACGAGCTTAAAAGATCCGGATAAATTTGCATTTCAGAAAACTGATATACAAAAAACAAACACGTAATACTTTCGTTAACCACAATGTCACTCATTCTCATCCAAGTAATAAATTATCTTCCCACACAGTTTATACAGAGTATTGTTACACTGTACCCTTCACAAGTGTTTCAATTCCACATGGATAGTTTTCTGTCTACCAGTATAAATCAATATCTGGGAACCAGGCTTTTCTACTTACGTGTAGTAAATGGATGCCCAGCCTATTTACATTCAGTGGACTTCAAAACTTGTTAGCCGTGTGAGCTTCAGCTTCAAGTACTGGGGCCACTCATTGTTCACGTATGTTTGAACAAATGGGTCGAATAATACAAGAATAAACCAATAAACTATCGATAAAAGAGTTGATGATTTTATAAAACTAGTTTATTAGGTGGATGGGTGGACTGGTGACTATATAGGTAATGACTGAACAGATGGGTTGTTTCGTGAAAGACAACTAAACTAAACAACTGTACAGATGGGTGGATTGGCGAGCTTTGTAAATTTTTATTAGTTGAATGCATATTTTGATATATAGTTAAAATGTAACACAAATAATAAGCAATTGCAATTATAGTTCGATAGAAATCTGAAAATACAAAAATGGTTAAAATACTATAAACATAAAGATAAAATTAACGTTGTGATCAAACAACCACCATCTGAACAGAACCTCTACAGATATGTTTTCACAAAATTTGGAC